CGGTGTGTCAGCATTTTGAAAAACCCTAACTTAACTCTGGTGCCGTGTCACAGAAATTTTTTGATACTTGCAACCATAGTAAAACAAAGACTTATATTTTTGATATTTATTTTATGTATTTAAATGCCACTTAACAAAGAAAAATCAACCAAAAAAATGAGTTCGCGTGTCATAGGTTCGTCATAGGTTCGCCATCACTATGGCCATGGTGTCATTAAGAGGTGGGAGGACAGGGAGGGCGACAAGAGCTCATGGAACTTATCAGAGGGGAGGAATGTTCCTGGATATAGACAAGTGACATTTTCTCTTTCTTTGGTGAAATGTAAATAAAGGCGTCTTTAGAAAGCTTTGTGTGTATCATAAAAGATAAGCAAATCTGTAACTTGCTTAACCTCAAAAGATAAAGCCCTGGTCCTCTCTCCAGAAAGACCACGGCTTCTAAGCCCCATCTACAGAGAAATTCTGCAGTCCCGACCCCACCAACTAGACCAGGAAAACATCTTTGTTCCTCTCTTACTTTTCTTTGCATCATGAGTCCTTTCGAAAATTTCCAGTCAAATCCAAAGTCCTCTTGGAAGAATGCCCAGCCCTTGACCCTCTTGCATTATTATGCTTTTAATATCGTGCATTAAAGACTTGCACAATCATTTACAGGCTGCACCGCAGTCCTTTGAAAAGCACATATTGGATCTAACAAATTCTAGATCACTCAAAATACCCTAAATTTCTTTTACAAGTCTTGTCTGCTACTTAGACACTTCTTGTTTGTTTTTATGTTCTCTGACTTTTGCAAAGAAAGAAATCCCTTTCATTCCTTTGCCATTTAACTCCACAATTCTTCTAAAGTGTTCCTTCTATGTGATTTCACATTGTTGTGGCTAAAATTACATCAAGAATCCTACAACATAAGGTTGAAAGATCCCTGTTTTCCTTATATCATTTCCTTCCTCAATTGAATCCACTGACCATCAGCCAGGAGTAAAAGCAGTACGAGGAGCCTACTGCACAAGTATAAGGAATGAGTTTATGTACAACCTACTGCCTTTGGTCACTTCTCTGCTACCTGTCCACTTAGAGATTCTGAGGACCTCAGTGCTCACCTCAAGCTGAGATGAAAAAAAGTCAGATGACCTCAGCCCCTCTGAGGCTCAAATTCCTTTAGCTTTTTTTTTTTTTTTTTAGAAATAAGTAGATAAAAACTGTTCTTTGATGAAAAGATAAACCACAATTTCTAAAGCTAAAGGAATTCATCTTTCCTGCATTCCTTACCTGGGAAACATTTTTGAGCTCCAAATACGTGCCAGATAGTAGTCTGAGGGCTGGTATTGTACAGATTAATAAGATAGA